TGTTTTTAATGGATTGAAGGCATTACATGTATTATTACTATTACTATTATTATAAGTTAAGATATGTCAAGTGTAGCGTTATATATTTTACAAGATATTGCTATTTGTTCAGCTAATGTAACTTTATATAATTTATTTTTTATATATAAAAAATTAAGTTTTGACAAATAAATTACTATTGCCAATAACATTTTTTTTAAAAAAAAGTGTCAATAAATACAAACAAATATTAAATACCATATAAATAGAGAGATAGTTGTCTTGTTTTGACATTTGTTGTGAATTATTGATATATTCTTTATAAAATAATAAGTCGATCATTAAGTATAAATCAAATAAGTACACAAACAAAAAACAATTTAAAACATATGTATTTTTCATATAACAAATATTTTCAATGATATTTATCATTTTTATATATTTAAACAATTTGTATAATAAAAATGATATATAATAGAAATTATAATAACATAATATAAAATATTAAGTTAATATTTATATTTATTGCAAAATCTAAGATTAATATTAAATGCTGACATAAAATGTATGACATTTACTATAAATAAATGGCAGTCAAAGGTCACTATGAAGTAGATAACAGTTCCCCCATTTGGACGACCGTTTGGGTCATTCATTATGTTTCCCACTGAGAGAGGAATAGACAATAATTTTTCTTACAGTTTATTGCATATATGTGTTGGTGTTATAAGCAGTGATTTTTGTCACATATTTTCTTGATATTAATATAAATATAAATTTATAGACAGTATATAGTACTGTATATACAGTACTATTAATATATAATGTACTATATCTTTAGATTCACATTTCATATTTATAACAACTAATATAAATTGATACCATATATTATAGTGAAATGACAGCATTTATTAACAAGTAATTTATAATAAGGTGATTACAATTAGTAAAAATTTTCTATTTATAGAAAATAATATAGAATTTTAATGTATATTAATGACTACTATATGATAGATATTGACAAATGTGGCCCAATGTTGATGGCATTAATTTCAAGGTTACTAAAAAACAAATGTTTAGTTATCTTTTAGTTATTAGTGAACTACAGTACATATAAATTATGCAAACTTTATCTTAATTTATAAGTTACAATAAAAGCATTAGTTATGCAAAATTAATGATAAATTTATTTAAAATACTGTATTATAAATTTAAATAAATATATAGTGTTTATAAAAATACTAAACTGGTATCAAATAAACAGTTTGTGCGCTTATAGTATACTTACGCCTACTATTGGAAAAAATTGTATTTAACAGCAATTGTAGTAAAAATTTTATTCTCAAAATTAAATCGTTATAATTATATATTTATAAATTTTTTAATTAAGAAAAATTTATAAAAAAATTATTATTGCATTTTAAAGTTAGTTTAAGTTTATTTAATAGAAATGATTGCATTGAAATATGTTTGTCATTGTATTTATATAATTGAACTAACATTTACTGTACATTGCATAACAAATATTAATAACATTATATATCCATTAAATATTAATTACAAATTGTAATATAATTTTTAAAAATCGATAGAAATCTATATTGTAAATAAAGGTATAATAGTATTATATATTACATAATTACAAACATTATGTTGTAATTTCAATTTGTAAAGAAGTCATTGAAAAATCAATAGAAAATAAGTTTAAGAATTAAATAAAAAACAATTTTTTCTCATTTATTTATAATAACAAATAGCAAAATTACAATTTAAAAAATCAATGCTATTTATTTAGTACATGTAAAGTATAAATGCTTTATACTTAAGTTATTTTAAATTTCGATATATTTCATATAAACAAATATATATATATTTATAATATTTATTAAAATTAGTGTACATTTTTATGAATTCACACATTCACACAGACACACATAAATAGTTTTGCAAAAAAAAAAATTTAAAAAACACTGAAAGAAAAAAATTTAAAGTAATTTTGTTTTATTTATAAACACATTAAAACAATTTTGTCCGTAAAAAACAGATAACTAGCCATTAGTCCGAAAATAGTTTGCGATCGCACAGTGAGATCATATGTGTAAAGACTGAAAGAGAAAGGTATTAGAAACAGGTATTCCACTAATAGAACTACCAGTGCTTCCTGTCTTTGTATACATTAAGTGTGAGAACCAGAAATTTTCTTTATTATTATTATTATTGTATTACAATAAAAATAATTTTATGTATAATTTGCTTAACATTTATATACAGATTGTTATATCGCATCTATAAATGCTTTCAATATAATAAACTGTAAAATCATTTTATAAAAAGTGTGGTTTATATATAATGATAACAAAACAGTAGTTATAAAATACTGCATAATCTATGTTCAGGTATTATCTGTTATATTGCAATCTCTATAAACCTGTGCCTAACACTCATTATGCTTCACACATACGAAAGGCACAAAAATGTTTTATATAAAAATTATATAAAAATTGTTTTTTTAATTGAAAGCTATATTTGTTTTAGGAGTACATCTGCCTTAATTAGTTGCTTAACTTTTTGAAAAACTCATTTTTAAAATGAAATAAAATTTATGATCAAAATCTCTCTCTCTCTCTCTCTCTCTCTCTCTCTCTCTCTCTCTCTCTCTCTGCCTATATATATATATCTTCTTTTTCTTTCCCTCTGATCTTTCTTTAAGCAATTTTCCCATCATTTTGTTGTCTTCACTCTTAACCTCTGACCAACAAATAGTCTCCAAAAAACAGGTTTTCCGCTATTACTAGATATATAGCGTGAGACCTGTATTTTTATTATAAATATATAGCTCACTCACTACTCAATCATCTATACCTGAGATAAACATTTGCAATCATTATATAATGGTTTACATTAATATTTTCAAATGATTGAAAAAAAATTAAAATTTAAAAATCATATAAAATTTAAATTATATCAAATTCTCATACTATAATAGTTAAGTTAAAACATAAATTAATAAACAAACAAAAAAATAGATAATCCAGACTCTAATTAGTAAAACGGGTAATCTTTAAATCAATTAATTTTTAAGATAAATTTCTAATAAGTTTAATGAGTTCTTAAAAATTATTATATACAGTATAAGATATATACTATAATAATACTGTAAATTTAATTTGTAAAAAAATAATATAACTGATAAAAATTTATTATAACATTTGACTCATATTTGAAAATTTATAAGTTTGTCTTAGAAAAAAAATTTGAACAAATTTATTGTTTCACTTAATTATATTATGAGAGATGTGCTGATAGATAGGCACCCGCTTTACACTCTGCAAGCACTGGCATAACCAAAGAGCAGGTGAGCGTATGCTTTAAAAACAAGACACAAATATCTTACAGCTTCTCGTATTTTTTTGGGGAACAGCCCTTTCATATATACTTTTCATGCCTAGTCTTCCATTATCTGTCGGCGCTCACGTTCAGGTGCTCTCTATTAGGATAGACATACAATATTTATAAGAAACAGATTGTTTATTACCAACGGCTCACTAGCACAGGGATGTGCAATGGGTGTCAATATAACTTGTGTTTGGTTAGCATTAAGTTTACACATTGATATTAACGCTCTATTTTGCTAATCAATATCATCCAGAGCTCACTTATTACAAAGTTTCATAGTTTCATATCGTATTATTTGACAAAAGTTATTATAACAATAACAATAGAAATTATCATTTTTAATAAATAGGACTAATAATTTTATTTAAACAACCTTGCTCATTGTTATATTTATCAATATGATAAATATTCATATGATAAGCACTATGTGTGTTAACGGCACGCGTCGTCCAAATAGTTATAATATCTAAAGTTTTATTTTGATGGCAATTATTATTATTAGACAGATATATAGCAATGTTTGGTTGGATCGAGCAATCAGTGCTGACAATCAGCGGTCAATTGCAATGCATGTCATATCACCTGCTTTTTGGATGGGCTCCGGGAGGAAAATAAATACAAACAGGCATTTAAGCTATAATCATAATTATATACATTTGACTAAATGAATTTATTGATTTTATGCGACTTTACAATAAAATATTTTTTAGAAAGTTATCATTTTCTATATTTATTCTTAAGCTCTTTCATAAAAAATACTTTAAATAATTAATGTTTAATCAAATAACAGTTTAATCAATAAAAACCAATCTTAAGGATAATTAAATTTGAAATTAAATTGATTGAAGATATTATTAATGCTATTTATTTGTATATACGAAAAATCATTATGTTTTTTAAATATGTGTATATATAAAAATTATTTATTTGATGTAATATTGGAAACTTTTAATATTAAAATTTTATGTAAACACAAATTATTTTAATATATTAGTATATTTATGCTATATTTGTAAATTAAAAACAAATTTATCTTGTTAATTTGTAAGATTTTTTTTATAGGTAACAATAGTACCAAAAACTGCCACCAAATGGCACTGTGGGTTCAGTCTATATGAAGTTATAGGTGAGTGCAATGAAAGCGCAGGCGTTATGACTGTAGTGACTGAACGGCAAATTGTGTTCAAACTACTGATCCCTCAGACTCTGTGAGTGCACTGAGAGAAGCACTGAATGTCGACACTTGTCTTAAAGATATACTACAGTATGTGTTGTTAACGTTTGGAGAATTAGTGATTTTGAGAGGAATTGGATGTTGTTATGAATGGCACGACGTCTATCTACATAAGCTTACACTTTATTTTTCGCGTGCATTTTTCTATACAAAAAATTGCCCAAAAATTTTGATTGATTTTAATAGTTTTAATACATAATCGCCGAAAAATTGTGGACTAATAAAACAATACATTTTTGTGACTTTTTATGTGTTATATAACACACAAAATGAAAACTGTGTTTAAAATGTATGGATTATTATTGACTCAAATTGTATGATATTCAGAAACTTTGAAACAAAAAACTTTTTTTTGATTTCAAGTTTTAATTTGTGTTTTTATTATAATAATTTATGATTTAATTTGATGTATTAAAAACTTTGGACAACTTTGTCAGTAAATAATAATAACTGCTAAGCAAAATGCAAATAACAAATACAATGAAATGGAGATTAACGACATTCAAGCAAATTGTCATCATTTGCTTACATCTCATATTAGGTAAGTTTTCACTACTATTATTATAGGATAAACATTGCTTTACATTATTAAAATATAGATATATCCCTTTCCCACTGATTAATTGCCGGCAATATGATGTTTAATGCATATTACGGTGTGTTGTATGTATGCTATAAAAATTCAGACACTATTAAATGATTGCCTAAAATATTTTATATTTTAAAATTCAATAAACATTTTTTTGCTATCAATTCATATAATTTATTACTTTATTTTCAAAACACACACATCTTTATATTGAGTCTCTCTCTCTCTCTCTCTCTCTCTCTCTCTCTCTCTCTCTCTCTCTCTCTCTCTCTTATATATATAGGATTTATAAGAAAAATATAATATAAAAATATAAAATAATAAAAACTATAAATCATGTTTTGCATAGAAAACAAAATATAAATCATTATTATTATTATTAATATTATATAAGCAAACATAGTGATGGCCAACACTGGTTATGATGTGTCATATAATGAGGTTTACAGTCGATGTGGACTTTTGTTATCCCAAATACTAATCACTTCATACAACTGTACAAAAACCCACTAAATTTTTTACAGTAATTTCTCTCTTTCTTTCTATTTCTCTCTTTCTCTTCGATGGTATTCCTCTTTAGTGACCCAAAGCTAACCGTTTTTTCAGTCATTGAATCGTCTTATGACATGTTTGTATGTATGAAGAGTATAAGTCATAGTCCCAGTCCTCCCATAGCTACCAATGCAATGTCTATAGTTGTTATATGTCTATCTCACGCGTATACCATTACCACCAGTGCTGCGAATGACTGGTGAAGAATAAGAATGGAGACTATCATTGAGGAAGAGATGATGAGAGCATTGGGAAGGGAGGAGAGGTACTGGTATTCACTATCTAACACATACTACTACTTGTGCTGTATTTGTGAGTCTATGTCTATATAGTATATAAGAAACTGACTCTCCCTTCAGTGACATATATGAAGAAAATGAGAAGTGATGTCAGACACCAACTGATCTGAGAGAAAGAGAAATATAATTGTCAAGTGTTTGACACAATATATTAGACACTATATTATATCATAGTTTTCAACAAAAAATATATATTTCAAAATAGCATTTTTCAAACTCAATATTTTGTTGTCTTAAATATAATGCATTTTATTGTATAGATTGGTATTATATGTTATGATATGGTTTGGTATAAGTTTGATAGAAATGGTTTGCAGTGTGTGGTGTCATTAGAGGGCGACCACATATATAACGGTAATAACACACCACATATGCATTGACACCAATGTTATCGATATGAATGACACGAAATATGGATTATTGTTTAACAAAAAAACCATTTGATTTCTATCAAAATATTTTTCATTATATAAATCACACAACTTTTGAATAAATAAAATTTTTAGACTAAAGTCTAATCTCGCACTCAAACCTCTCCCTCACTCTCTCCTAAATTGGCTATACTTTACACGAGAGGCATGGAGTGGGCATTTAAGCACTCAATTTGATCGTACAGTGCGTTCAATGTGTTTGTATGATTGTGTGCGTGAGATATAAGCACTGAACGCATCGCACCGGGCGTTCAAACGGGTGATGAATATGTGGCTTACAATATGTTCGCCACATTTTTTGTGATAATCTGATCTGACTTTACTTACAATATATATAGTGATATAACTTTCTCTCTTTTTTTAAACCTCCCTCTCATCTCTTTAATATGCATTCATACCAGTGCTCTACAGCTGAGAGAGAGAGAGGGAGAGAGAGAGAGAGAGAGAGAGAGAGCACTCCTGGTGTGGCAAATGAACAGAGAAAAGTTGCGACAAAATTATTTAATATAAACTCATTTCAATGAATACAATATGGTTTTGATTTTAGTCATTTCAATGCATACGTACTGCCGTTTGCATGCATGCCTTAATTAATGGCATTCAAAGCATCATAGCATCCCATCATTGAATCTCCCCCTACACCCCCTATACCCCAGATAATCAGTTACGGGTGCTCTAACTTAGGTTGACTTTACTGTGAGACGGTATTTAATTTCTAAAATGCTATTTGTTTTTTCTATGTTAGCAAAAAATAGCTCGAGTTTTAAATTACATAATAAACAACAGATCTTTTTTATCAAACAATTGTTTATATAAATATTCAGGACTTAAAACTTTAAGTAATTATTTCACAAGTTCTCACTTTTGGACAATTATGTCAACACTTATCAATGTATTTCAAATATAAAGTTAAATGCAAATTATATAATGATTTTTGTTAATCTATTGTATAAATTTCACGAAAAAATTCGATTTAATGAAAAAATCGATTTATGGTTACCTTTAATTTGGGTCATTCATGGGTTAACTGTTAGTTGAAAATAATAAAAAATAATAAATTGTTATAAATACAGTACCAATCATACAGTATTATTATACAGTATATAAGTTGCATATTATCATTGGTTGATATGTAATATATATTTATTTTAGATTATAATGATAAAAGTTTGAGAACTATTACTTTAAGGAAATTGGATACTCTTTTCATTTAGTATTTTATATCAATTTCTTGTATTACAAACTATTGAACTACACTTTTATAACAGCAAAATAACTTATTGCAAATATAATATATATTTATTTTATTTATATTAAACCACTTTGAGCATGATCATTTTTCACACCAACAAACCAATAATTGCATCTTTCACTCTCAGATGCTTTACTTTCTCAAATATCTCTTTTTATATCACACATACACATACACATACACATACACATACACATACACATACACATACACATACACATACACATACACATACACATACACATACACATACACATACACATACACATACACATACACATACACATACACTAAATATGTAATTTCAATCTAAATATTTTATGCAATTTTTATTATGCATATAAATGATATTTTGATATCACTTCAAATATTGGTTGATTTTTTGAAAGATATTATTTCTTACAATTATAATTATCACCAGACAGTATCATTTTATGCTTAATAATTTAAATGAAAAATAAAATTTGTATTATTTTAAGTTATTGAGATTAAATTAAAATTTTGTATTTATAAATATGTACTGTATATATTGTAAAGTATACTATATTTTTATATGTAAGATTTATTATTTTAAAAATTGTTTGATACGTTTGATATTTTGAGGTAATCTAGCAATTATTATAAAAACTTCGATATCACTTCAATATGCAGTTTTAAAGATTGATTTTTTGTTGATAAAAATATATACAAAAAACTAGCGTAAAGTCAAACGACAATAATAGAAGTGAACGGAAAAAATGATAAGAAAATTGTCGTCACTTTTATTTCATAAATAATATTACATAAAAAATAATATACAGAGAAAAAAAATCAGTAAATATATTATATATGAGTAATAAATCAATTTTGATGGCAAACTTGGAGTCACCATAAAAAGGATTGTATATTAAAGACTAAAAAATAGACTTACAGTTAGGAAACATTTATAAGACATACACACCAAACAAAAAACCATTTAATAAGATTCCCATAGAGTTTAAAATTTTCACACAATTCTAAACTTTTTTAAATAGATTTCAAACATTATTTTAATTGGCAAAAATGCATTTGATTTTTACAGTTAATATTAAATAATTTTTTGTTGTATATATGAAATACAAAATTCGGAAATCAAAACTGTAGTTATTTTTGATGAGTATTTCTGTTGTTATTTTTATCAATTGATTTGATTGTCTACTCAATTGAATTTTTTTTGGAGACATAAAAATAAAAAATGATAATTGTTGTGCTATTTTTGGTCACAAATATCTCACAATATTATTGTTATGAATGTGAAAGAGTAGTTTGTATTTGTTATTTTTATATTACTATTTTATCTAATTTAAAATTATATTTTTAGTCAATTTTGTTGTCTATTTAAAAGGAAGTATTGCTTAAATACGGATTTTATTCATCCAAAAAATTTGATTAATTTAAAAAAACTTTTTGTGTCTCTCAGCTAATTATTTAATGACTTAATGAGAGACATTCTCTCTCTCTCTCTCTCTCTCTCTCTCTCTCTCCGATTTGTAGGTCTTTCAAAAAAACTTTAAATATTTGTCTTATCTTCAAAAAGTAGATTAAAATCTTTTAGGAAAAAATGTTTTCTCATTTTAATTGACTTAAAAAACGCTAATTTCTTGGAAATAATTTATATCCAAAAATAATTTGAAAATAATTTAAGATTTAAAGCAAATGCCTGAATAAAAATATTATAAACAATAATAAAATATTTGATAATCAACTTTACATGACTTACATAGTTATACAATCAATTACAGTATATACCGATATATTTTATTAATTATTATTATTTCTATTATTTCTATTTAAATTTTAACAATAATATAATATTTTAATACTTATACACATATACATCAATACATCATTAATCGTATATTTGATACTACAGTATAAATACTACATTTTATATGTGTGTTAGTGTTAATACATTTGTGAATAAGTATTAAGAATGAAAATATTGTATTAATAAACTAATATTTATTAAAATAAAAATAATGTTTTGAGCTGTCAGTCACAAAAAATAACATTTGCTATTATAATAATAGTAATGGCAATAATAATGGTATTATATCGTTAATCTGAAACAAAAATTAATGTTTTTTGTTTATATAGATTTTGATATATACGGTATATAAACACTATTTATCACTATTTTATGTCATGAGTATATATAATTCAATAATAATATTTATGAATTAATATAAGTATGTGTTTGTGATTTGATATTTTAGAAAATAATTTGTTATATTTTTTGAAAAAAAATATTTATTAGTAAATAAAAAAGATAAAATAGTAGTATATTTGTATGTATCCCCGGATACGTCTTATCATTTATATTTAAATTATAAAAGCATTTTTGAAGACAAGTTTTGATTTACTTTAATTAGTTATTTGATATTTATTTACAACTTAGTG